TGTTACGGATGTTCAAGCTTGATGGGAGTTAAAATAACATGTTTCATAGCAAGAGACATGTTCAAACACGTACCTGTGATATATCATGTCCTTGAGGTATTGTACACCTGACAAACCTGTGTTGTGATGCTTAAGGTATTAGTCACTATTGGGAAAGGTGCCAACTTTTCATCAACAGGGACTGTAAACAGGTCTTGAGATTTCTGTCCTTAACTGCTGACCAGACAATACTCTGGCTGTGCTGGGCTCCAGCCAGGTTGAGTCATTGTCTCAAGGACAGGGATTCGAAGGAAAAACAAAAGCATATTCAAAAGTTTGGATAACAACAGGACCTTGCAGTGGCATTAACAAATGTTTAGACTGGGATACTGTGACCTCGCTTCAGTAGGACAGGTAACAATATATAAGGTCATTGACCATGGATAAGGGATAGGTGAGTGGGGTCCTGTTCCTGGGACAAGTGTGGGACAATAACCCTTGAAAGATGACAAGGCCACATGTATAAGTGGACCAATATAATGGAAGATGGTTGCAGGAAAGAAACGTAGTTCATGTATAGTAGATCTAGATGATACATCTATAAGTGTTCTTCTGGATGATGGAAGGGATGACACTTTTTTATTCAGTATTGATAAACATTACTCATATCAGTCTTCTTCTCCCCAGACATATGTTCTACCTGCACCTGAAGGAAGACTTGGCAGAAGGGAGACTGACTGCTCCTACCAACAAAGCAGCCAGGATTGCTGCCCTGGTCGCACAGGCAGAAACAGGAGACTACGACTGCAACAACGCAGATCTGTACGCCAGCTGCTACCCTGCCTACCTACCAACATGGTCCAACGACCTCCTTTCCGCCATCGCCGCAGAGCACGACAAGATCAGGGGCATGAAGCGGGCAACGGCCGAGTACAACATGGTCAAGGAGTGCTCCGAGCTGGACGGTTACGGACAAGAGAACTACGCAGTGAAGGATAGCAGTGGCATCAACATGCACATTGGAGTGGGACCAGAGGGTATCCTCCTTATGGATGATGACCTGAATACCATTCAGAGGTGAGGCATTGCAGAGATGTAGTTTATGCCATATTAATCTGCAGACTGAGAGGGTCAGACATCTAATGATATGAGTAAAACAAAACAGTTAAAAGTTACAAAACAAGAGATAGCCAAATAAGTAAGTAAGGTAGGATGGATTTAGAATGGCCAAAAAGTTGGTAATTGTAGTGTTGCTGACTAAATGGGGACAATGGAAGTGGAACCACAGGGCTGACATCTGTCAATTTTACGGTCTTGCAGGGATCACTGCCAGAATATGGCAGGTTTTTTTAGACATGAGTAATGTTTTTAGGTACTAGTACATGGAAATTGATCAATAATTGGCAATGGAAAGCTTTCAGTTTGTTGCAGTGACAGGATAGCATGCTTTTGTGACCGTTTCCCTTCCAAGAACACAGGCCTCGGCAAGCTCCCTTCAAAACAGGATGATAGAAAACAGATAACCGATACATATCATTACAATTCTTTCTAGGAAGGCCTGTAACACAGTCGACTTGTGATCGATATAAGATTGTCTTCTACATGAATCAAGGAACACGAGCTAGTAAATTGATGTTTATACAGTGGGAAAGTTTGTCTCCTGTGTATTTTAATTAGCAGGAAAATTTTGACTACCTCACTATTTTCAGTGTCTGATTCCAATAAAAAGCTGTAATGTAATAGCATGGCACACAGGATAAAGTGATCTCGTTTTGGTTACCAGTGGCAACTGCTGGCAATGAGTCAAAAAACAGCCTTGTGGTGACGTCTTGTTTTTCCAGCAAGTGTTGTCATTGTTACTCAGTGATCGGTTAAAAGAAGCAGAAATGTTTACCAGTCTACATCAGTCACAAACAAAAGGCCTTGAGAGTCAGAAGCTCTTCACCCTTGTTCGTATCCAGAAAAGGTTTTATCCACTGCAATATTCATCCCTCTTCATCCACATGACAGAGGCTGGGGCTAAAAATAGCATAGTTGCTGGGCAGCCTGAACCATTTTTACTACAGGGGGTAATGTGCCTTAACTGTTGAGAGGAAATTAAAAAATGTGTTCCTTGCAGCCACTGGGCATTAGGTAACAAGTTATCTTGTCTTTGGTGACATTTTGACTCTTCTTGCTTCTGGTAATGTTTCTGTCAATGCTTTGTAATGAGCCACCTCCCTGTCCCCAATGGTATAGTCCTGCCCAGTGGTGGGATAGATAACAATGTTCTATAACTGCCAGGCTGCTAATTGAGGTGTTATTGAGGCTGGGAGAAAAACAACTGCCAACAAATGCTATGCATCAAGCTGACTTGTTTTTCTTCTTTGAATTCAATTAAAGAAAAAACGGGTGGATTAAGGTACAGCTAAGGGAAATGAGTTTCTATTGAAACAGAAAGGAAGGTTTTTCTTTAAACTGTCACCAATCAGCATGGACTTCAAACCAATTTGTGATGAAGGGATTCTTTTTGAGTGTGTTACATCTTTTAACTCCATGGTTACAGGAATGAATTCGATTGATATGAAAAAAAAAGAAGAAGGCAAAAAACACGTAGACCATGCGACAAATTATAGCCCACAGGAAATGTAAATGTGAAGCTGGGTTGCCTCAAGAGGCAGCTTGGATGTAACGGGACCAATCATCGCCTATATTTGGTAGGCGCTCTAGTGTTGCTGGGGAGAAGAGACCATTTGTCGGATGGGGAAGTTCGCGGTGAGCGACGGACAATGATTTTGTAACGCAAGGAACAGTCTGATAGCACATCATATTAAAATCTTAACTGCCAATGGGGTAAAACAAATTTAAGGGGCGATATTTTATTGATAATGTGCAGTTTGTTAAAATTAAAGACCATGCATAAATAATGATGCTAAAAGGATGTGCTAAAACAGAAAAATACACTATATTAATTCACTGACTCAGCAGGATAGCCGTTTTATCTGACTCGCAGTCTGACATCTATCGAACTTACTAGCAGGTGGGGGAAAAGATAATGATGTAGGAAAAAAATAGGAACCTTTTGGAAATGTCAAATCTAACTGATGAGAGATTGCTGAACGGGTATTGTTCCAGGTTAAGGTTGTAATCACATGTATCAAGTGTCAATTTTTTGGATCTGTGTTAGTGCACCAAAAGAAATTTTTACTTGCCATCTTTTGTTTGGGCTTTTTTTTAACAGCCATCTGCTAGATCAGTACATTAGGCCACACCAATTTAATTTCTTGGTTAACGGATTCGCCGCTTCATTTTTTTCAGATTTGCAAATAAAACTAAAAATCCAGAATCAACTGCAAAATGCTCATATTTTGCCCTGAACAGTTGAAAACAGACCTTTTCATCCTAGTCGTTACAGTTATTCCATCTTGCAATGCAATTGTATCATTAAAAGTTCAAAAATCATTGTTAAATTTTGAACCAGTCTGGTGTGTTGACTTCCTGGCTCCTATCGTACCATTTTGGGCCATAATACGATGCCTAGGCCTGTTTTTATTTTTATTTATTTTTCGCCCGCCCGCTCCATTATTTTTCTAGAAAAATCCGTTAACCAAGAAATTAAATTGGTGTGGCCTTATGGCCTGACCACCTGCTTTGCTGACACTTGGCCTCAGTGGGTTAATTAACAGGTGTCCTGAAGTAGGGGAAGCAAATACTTACAGCTATTCCAGAAAAAATTGCAGGCAAAGCTGCTAGGTATTAAACAAAATATGGGTTGGCATACATGTCTATTCTAAACCACATATTAAGTACATGTTTTTTATGTCAATACCATGATTAGATAGGAAATGACATAAAAGAACTATATACATTGTATAGAGAAGGTACATGTCAAACTGTCTTGCTTGCCTATTTTGTTTTTTTCCTGACACAGCTATTACTTTCCTAAGCTTCTTGATCCATAAATAATTTGGCTGTTTGCCACTACTGCACTAGGTGGTCTTCCATGGCTAAATGATCTGAGGGTTTAGTGAACCAAAATTTTTTTATGTTGTTCAATTAACACTGTTAAGGAGAAAGTACTGAAGTCAATTTACAAAATCCTATCTTCATTGCTTAATAATGACAAGTAAATATTTTATCCAATCAGGACTCCTGCACCCCTGACCTTTAGTAGTTATAAAGGAAGTGAGTTGCTTTGCTCTGCATGTTCTCATTTTCCTTCCTTCTGTGTTCCAGTGTGCTGTTCACCCAGGTACAGATGGCCACTCATGCAGGGAAGTGCTTCTTTCTGACGATACTGGAAACGACAGGGACTAATACAACTCTCGGGTTCAAGCTCCCGAACACCAAGATGGCCAACGCCCTCTACCGAGCCGTGACAGAGAAACACGCATTCTACCGGTGCGAGACCGTGAGGAGCGCTGTCATCACCCAGTTCAGCCGAGACTTTAAGGGCACTCTGGTGTCTCTGTTTAATGAGAACACTGTTGTTGGGAAAAAGTATGTGTTTGACGTGCGCCGCACCTGCCGTGAGGTTTACGAGGAGACCAGGAGATTACTGTACACGCGGGGAACAGCGGTGCAACTGCCGCCAACCACGACAAACTCCTTGAACAATCTGTCGGAAGGCTGTCGATGCGATGACATCGACTGCAGGTGTGGGTGTGTGGAAGCCGTGGAACTGCAGGAGCGTATTTGTAAGCTGGAGGAAGCGTTGTTGTGTCGGGTGTGTATGGATGAGGAGATCAGCACGGTGTTCTCCCCATGCGGACATGTTGTTTGTTGCGACGAGTGTGCAGCGTGCCTGGATGTGTGCCCACTCTGCCGGACAGGGGTGGAACGGACTCAGCACATATTCCTACCCGCACAGATCTCTCGGCTGGACATTGAATCTTGTACACAACAGGGTAGAGACTCGTTACAGTGCTCTTTGGTGAGCACGTAAAGGGTGAAAGTTGTGCCAAAGCAGTTGTCACAAATCTGTAGAACAGTTGTATAGTGTGTCAGTCTGAGCTGATGTCAAAGCCAAACTTAACTTTCCTGTTGTTGGTATAATGTTATATTTGTTATTAGGTACTGTAGTCGTAGCAAGAAATCTAAAAAAGGGGGGGAAGGGTGCTGACAATGCGCAGGTTATTTGATATTGCATTATTATGCTGTAATGTTTTATATCACAATGTTGCGAAATAATATGGACTAAAAAGACATTCAGTTAATGACTTTGTAATCACATTAATTGCAAGGACCAACAAGACATATTTGTACTGCTATAAATGCACTATAGTGATATGGTTAACTTGTTAACTGTTGTATGGATAGGATAGCTTTAAACATTTGTTAGAAAATGATTTGTTGCCAGTATGAGCCGGTATGCAGTCCATTAAACAGTTGTCCCTTGATTCCATGGAAAATAATTGTTATAAGCAAGGATCTATTGAAACCTCCTTGTTATAAGTTGGTTTATAGTATGGAAGACGAGCAGCAGGCCAGTCTTACAATTTAAAACACAGCAAATGCCTGGTGCTTTTGTCCTAATCGATGCTGGAGGACAGCAAGGTACATATTCAGAAAAAGTTAACAAGATTAAGCAGCGACAACCTAACTGTACCACCCTTTCCTATAAGATTGGACCTGAACATTCAAGTGAACTTGCCTGTTCAGCAATCATCAAACTTCAATAACCGTTATGAAAAGTTGGGCATTTTCATTGTCCTAAGTAGTACCTTGCTGTTCCTACCCTTAGTAGTTAGATAAATTAAATTACCTAACTGCAATACCCACTTGGAGTGGACAGAGAATGGGTGTATTGTTAGCAGCTGGAAATCCCTGTTGTTGCAATGGTATTATATTATATGATCACCATGTGTATAATATGTAGCACAGACCGCAGATTTTGGTTGGTCATGATTATGTAGGGATTTGTACCGGTACTGATGTTTTGCAATGCACTCATTACTATGAACCTTACAGCTATCAGAGCTGTATATGTACAGAGTTGTTGGGGCAGTCCGAGCCCTCTCTCTTCAACCAAGTGAAGAAGAAGTAGCAAATTGAATGAGTCTGTGATGTGTTGTCAGGTCTATGTATACATTAATTTACTGCAGTACTGCCCGTAGACGCTAGGGGCTGAATGTGTACTGCCCACACCAAGCCTGACATAATGTCCAGACTTATTTATATAGGTCAAATTATAGATGGGCCTGTATTTAACTCCTAAGTGAACAAATTTTATATATTAGGTAATTTTAAAAAACAAAAAGAATATGTACACCTAAATATTACATTTACTTTTGTTATTGTTCTTGTACATGATGATATTGTGGCGTCAAGTGCATTATCAGGGAGTGGAGATGTTCGAAGTTGCGAGGTAAGGTCATGAGTTGTCCCTGCAGGTCAGTGCAATTGGCACGTGTCACCATGTTGTGATCTCTTGTATGAACAAAATAAATTGTTCAAAGTTTATACAGTGGCTGTGAGTGCTGTCTTATTGTAGCTTATAGATATAGTTTTATATGAATATGAGGTCCAGGAATATTTAAACAATGAATTTTGAACTTTTAATCAAACTATTGCTACACATCTACTTATAACTTACACTGAATAGCCTACAAATGAATACATAATTGCTCTTACACTCTTTCATTGCTACATCACTGATTTGACATAAATTCACAAGCCATTTCTACTTTCGGGAAGGTTAAAATCTCTGAATTATGTTCTGAAAGTAAAATTATTCAATATCTCTGCAGAACAAGGGAATAATTTTCTTTCTATGTGCAATGATATGTTCCTAGCCTATGTTCTGATACAAATATTGAATGATTTTTATTGTTACATGTACAGTAACACAAGAAAGAAATTTTAGGTACAAACTCATCTTTATGGGCATTACCATGTAAAATTGGAAGTCTGCACTGAATTGAAATACATATTTTCACTTGTCTTACTCTGTATTTGATGTTGTTTGATAGAGTTTTCTTCTGCCTGCGTTACAGACAGGGATCACCAACTGGTTGCTCAGATGGAGTCGGAAGTCTAAATTTTCCTGCTGATACTGTCAAACAGTATCCTCCAGTGGACAAAGGGGAGAAAGCAATTCCCAAGCCCCACCTAGCTGTCTTCAAGAGAAGCACAAGAACAAGTTGATCAGCCTGAGCTGAAGAAAGTTCTAAAGAGTAAGTGTGTCATGCAAAGAGATGTCAAAATTGGACCTGAAGAGAGAAAAGGATCCAGCTTGATCTAAAATATTTCTGGGAATGAGATGTTACAATCAGAAGTGATCAATGATGGCCAGACCTGGGTGTGATCTACTGGTAAAAAAATTAAATGAAATAAAGATAAATGGCAAAGAAAAAACAATACCCACTGCTGAAGCATTTCTGCAAGCAGCTTAATTAGCCAACACATTGGTTAAAATACAAATTTTCAAATGTCTGAGATAACAAAATATCAACAGGAAACTGACACAAGCTTTTGATCATTACGGAAATGTTATTTGAAGATTGTTAACAGCAAGCATTTTGCAAAATGATCTAGAAATGCTTCATTTGTGAGCAAGCTAAAGTGCAGCATATTTCACTCCATCTACCCATACAAAAATGGACTGTTTCATATCAGCTTGAGCTATGAATGTAGGCTTTCTTTATTCATTTTTGAAGATTGTGTTTGTCCTTGGTGCTGAAAGCATGATCCTTCAGCATTTTCAAGTTCCAACAGGTTTCTTACGTTTGGTTCATACTTCATAGCCTATTTTGCCATGTAACAACTAAGATTTCTTATGAAACAGTCCTATCAAGGCATTGGTTCTATCTATCAATCATTTTTCTCAAATTTGCAAAGCATTGGTAGTTTTGCATAACAAATTGTAGCTTGTTAGCTAGCGTTATCTGTTCCCAGCTTTATGGATACCTGGATGGTGAACTATTACATGTTCTAGACCAGTTTTGGGCATGGAAGGTGTTAGTGTCAAGTTAAGAGCATGATGGCAAGAATGGACCTTATTTTCAATTCATCTTTTGTAACAGAAAAAAGTGGTGGAAAATTGGTTGAAGGAGCAGTCTATTGTGAGATCAGAACATTGTTGGGGAATGTTTGGGCCATTACACTTTTAAGTTAAATTTGCTTTATCCGATTGCCAAAATTTGGTCAGGAGAATACTTACACTTTTGGCGCCAAAATGGGTCTTTAAATTATCAGCTGGATGCTGCACGTGTTTTTTTACCCACAGTGCATCGCGCTGTGGACCCGCCATTTCTGAAGAAGAAGTTCAGAAGAAGAGGCAAGATGGCGACTTGAAGTTGCAGAGAAGAAATAACTCCCCGAAAATTCGTGCTTTGCGCCGTGCAACGCCAAGTTCTGGAGGTGAAGACAATTTACATTTGTTGTTTGTATGTCTGTGTCCAGTTTGGTCCGAGGTATAACGCATTTAATTTGGCGTTATTGTGTAGAAATACAGAGAGGAAGATATTCTGGCCTCCGCATGTTGAAAATATTTCGGTGTCAGCCACGTCTTTGGAAATGTGCAAATTTTACTTGGCATTTGACATCTGTCTATTCTACTCTAACGAGTACTAGGATGAAGAAATGACCCCTGTTCCCAGAAAGTTTTATGCCGCTAATATAAGAAAATTATAATTATTATTAATAACAATAATTTGTGTTGCCGGTTTTGTCCACGTGTGTGTTCCGGGGAGCTAACTATTATTTCACCGCCACCCATACTATGTAACGTTACCACTATTTGTCGGCTTGAACTTATTTTTATGGCTTTTGTTCGAATTAGACTTCCTTTTTGCGGGAAAACATTCATAAACCATGTGCTGGTTTGGCACGCCGTCAAGTTTCCCAACACTGTGACTTTTATGAAATAGTTACGTACGTTAATTTTTCGCTGAAGTTACCTTGCATATTTTTTAGAAATAGGTTTGTTTCCATGTGGTATCTTACATCAGATTTATTTTGATGGGATTGCCGTTTGGTGATGGTATTTTTTGTTCACCTTTGGTTGTTCTTCACTTTCCTCACTAAACACGTTTTTTTTCTTGCCCCAACCCATTTTCAGCAGGTTTTACAGATCCATTGTGAATACTGAATAGTGTAAAATTCAATTTGGTGTATGTAAATTTGGCATGTAATTTTTCTGAGAGAGTGTTTCTTTTCACCATAGGTTATATGGGAATACTGCCAGCTATTCCATGTTCCAGTCCACCTATCTTCAAGAGAAGAGAACATCGGACATGACTGTGAGTTGGCTTTTACTTGTAGAATTCTTTCAAAACAGAGGTCTGCATGCCGCAAAGCGTAATCAGCCATTTTAGTGTCGCCGGGTTGTTCTGATGTAATGTTAAAATATTACACGTTCTTTGTGCTGTATGGTTAAAGCGTCGAGCCTGCATGAATTAAGCATGTCATTGCTTTGCAGAAGTTTGCATAATTCGAAGTCGTGCGTTAAATGCAATCTACGTGTAAGCGTCTTGCCCTTAGAATTTTGCATGATTTGAAGTCGAACAACTCTTTAACTGTCAAAAATAATCCACTTGATAAGGGTCCAGTCCAGACGAATGAAGACTAAATTATGGCCACTGCTTTCCGGGATTTAGCGCAAAGCGAGATCGGGACCTCCCATGCAGACCTCTGATAAAAAATGACAACAAAAGATGTAGGGATAGGGCATCTGTGGTCCTCTGAATTTACCTGGTATATTGATTTTCCAAAAATCATGATTATATGATTGTTGAAACTAGCCCTTCCTGGTATTTGTTGTCATTTCAGAAAGAGTTCCTTGTACTAATATCTAATTTAAGGTTGTGACTAATATGACGGTGAACACTGCAGTACATTTTCGTATTGAAGAGAGCACTTGTAATATTGTCTGTTGTTTCATTCTGTATAGCAATGGGATGTATTTTCAAAAGCATTTGTGATCAAACTGTTTTCCTTGATATCCTCTCCTTCATGATCCATAATCTCCATCATAATACACAATAACCCCTTTCAAAAATCTTTAGAAATAAAAATTGTCCTTCACATGAGGATAAGCACTCTATATGTTTAATGAATCATTAAAGCAACAATGTTAAGGGCAAATATTTTGTAGCAGACAAAAACAGAAAATTAAATGGAATAAAGAGATCATGAATTTTAACTTTAGAATTTTTATGTTTAATGCTGGACAGATATGGAACTTCAAGATTTGACACTTTGTTACCTGACAATAATATTTTCAACTGATTTTCAACCAAATACAATGATTTGGAATGTATGACAACCCATAATGCAAAGCCACAAATGTACCGTTACACGGTTCAAAACAAAAAGTACACATCTGTTACCAGTTATAATTGCGTCTTTAATTGCCAGCTTTTTGCGCTTCTTTCACTTTTCAGGTTTAACCGTAATAGGGTGAATCTAAAAAAACAAACTGTAAAATATTTCAATCATTGAACATGATAATATCCACTTTGAGGCTAAGAATGCTAATCTTTGTTCTAAAGTAATTTTACATTTGATTTACCTAAATTAATTGATTTTGTCTTGTCAAATAAGGCCATGGTGATTTGATTACATGTATATGGATGACATCCTCTGGAAACTCCAAAACTGATGTGAGTGTGCGAATAAGAAAAAGTTTAGCAAAAAAAAGTTGTTTTCATTATGAAATCTATTATGTGGTGAAGAAGGTGGAACAAATGACACAGTAGAGTCGATTCCGCGTCACCGAGTGGGTTTTTTCTCCATGTTTCTAATACGTTTGAATTATTTAGAAGAAAAGAATACCCTAGTAACAAAAGTTCTAAATTTTTCAAAAATTTGAAAATGAAAATTTGAATATATTTGAATTCATTTATATATTTCTGAAACATTTTGAAAGTGACTGTACAAAGATCTCTTTATTTAGAATAAATTTGAACTTCCCATTTGTTTCTTTCACTATTCGAAATATTTAGAACTATTTCAAACAAATGAAAAATGGTAGATGTGGGTAATTGCCCCCATAAAAGTAGGTGCTAATCCTACTCTTCTGTATTCTTCTGTATATTTTTTAGATTTCACTGCTGGACACTGGTGGCACTTTTGTTGTAAGGCATCAATGCCTGACACCCAGGCAGTCTACCCTGTACTTCACAGGGATGTGTGAATTACTTCCTTCCCATCCCACTGACCTATTTACAAAATGTTAGAAATAATTCGAAATAATGGTAAAAAATGGTAGAGTGCTGTTAGAAATATTTAGAAACTATTGGAAATGTCATATTCCACATCAGGAATATTTCAAACGTTTTAGAAAACCAGGGAATTATTTAGAATATTGACAAGATGTTCAAAATATTTCCAAATTATGAAATTTCTTAGACAATTACAAAGAATTCAAAACATTTCTAAATAATGACAGTTCCCCGATCTCATACCTTCGCCAAATGATGTTAATCTTTATGGCTGACAAATGATAGATTATTCCCCCT